CTCACGGCGGTTTCCGCAGCCCTGGCCAGCGTGGCTCAGGGGACAGAGCGTCAGCCTGCGGACTGAAGGGTCCCGGGTTCAATTCTTGGTCAGGGCACATGCCCTTGATCCCCAGAGGGGGGTGAGCAGAGGAGATAGCTGGTCAATGATTTTCATCTTTGATGTTTCTATCTCCCTCTCCCTCCCTCTCTGAAGTCAATAAAAATATATATTTTTAAGAAGATGGTTCCAGTATAACAATATCTATAAATGCAGCTGTAACACATTTAGAACATTTGCTGACTTATTAAAATTTTCTAACTAGGCCGAAACTGGTTTGGCTCAGTGGATAGAGTGTTGGCCTGCTGACTGAAGGGTCCCAGGTTTGATTCCGGTCAAGGGCATGTTTGGATGGATGGATGTTTCTCTCTCATCGATGTTTCTAGTTCTCTATCCCTCTCCTTTATTCTCTGTAAAAACCAATAATATATATAAATCAATCTTTATTGTTCATATTATTACAAAGGTTCCTCATTTCTTTCCCCCTCCACCAGGTTCCCACCCCACCTTCAGCCCCCTTCCCCTCCCCCATTGTCCTCAACCATAGGTGCACAGTTTTTGTTCAGTCTCTTCCTCCCTCCCTTTTCCCAATAGTAAATCCCTTTTCAGATAGTAAATCAGTTACTTAGCATTTTCTCATATCAATAATACCTCTACATGCCCAATGATACACTTCACACAAAAGACATTTCCAAATAGGTCAACCAGCCTCATCCAGGCCCCACCCAAGGCACTCACAGATCAACACCCCAGCGCTACACTAACTCAACACATCCAGATCTAAGTCTTCATCACTTGATTCAGCAGACCCTCAAGTTTCTGCAAAAGTTTCCAGCCATGTCTGAGAGGCAGCCTTGGGGCAGGGGCAGGCGAGGAACGAGCTGTTCTGGGCCTGGCTGCTCTGGGCCTGGCCTCTGTTGCTCTGGTCAGTTCCACAACCAGCTGCTCCAGGTCTGGCCACTGCCGCTCCCGACCTGGTTGCTCCGGGCTTGGCTGCTGCTGCTCCGGGCCTGGCCTGGCTGCTCTGAGCCCGGCTGCTCCCGGCCCGGCCGCTCCGGGCCTGGCCGCTCCCAGCCTGGCAGCTGCTGCTCTGGGCCTGGCTGCACCCGACCCGGCTGCTCTGGGCCCAGCCGCTCCGGGCCTGGCCGCACCCAACCCGGCTGACAAAACTATGTCACAGAGGACATTAAAGCAGTGTTAACAATCTATATATCTAAATATATAAAAGCCTAAGCAACTATTGCAATTGGTTGCTATGCTACCCACTGACCACCAGGGGGCAGACGTTCAATGCAGGAGCTGCCCCCTGGTGGTCAGTGCGCTCCCACAGCCAACCTCCCGGCCGTCCCTCCTCTCAGCCGGCTGGTTCTGATCTGCCCCAATTGAGACTGGGCGAGAGACCGGAATAGGCCAGGTCTCCGTCTGGCTGAGGGACCCACCCGTGCACGAGCTGGGTGCTCCCAGCCTCTCAGGTAAAATAAGCCTGAGACGTGAAACAGAACGTCCGTCTGCGAACGGAAATAAGAGGCGCTTTGCTGGGTAACGGTGAGCTCAGTGGCTCACAGGCGTTGGTGGGGCTTTGGCAGACCTGTCCGTCACTCGTCCCTAAAGACCCGCCCAGCCTGGCAGACGGCGCGCCGCCTGCGGACTGAAGGGTCCCGGGTTCCTGTCAGGGCACACACCTGGGCTCCTCCCCAGTGCGGGGGGTGCAGGAGCAGCTGGTCCATGACTCTCTCTCATCATTGATGTTCCTCTCTCTCTCCCTCTCCCTTCCTCTCTGCAATATGGGAAGAAAAAAAAAAAAAGTGGGGCCCACACTCAGCTCTGAGCCGGGCCATGCTCCCTCTGGCAGCTGAAAGAGCAGGCTATTAGAAGTGTGGTGTGTGTGTGTGTGTGTGTGTGTGAGGCCTGGGGGGGGCAAGGCCTGGGGGGTGCTGAGGCCTGAGGGGGGCGCTGAGGAATGAGACGGGGAGCATGGAGGCGGGGGGTGGGGGGCGCTGAGCGGAGAGCAGAGGGGCAGGAGCATGGCTATTTGGTCTTTATTTTTACTTTTTCTTTTCCTTGATCCTCACCAGAGGATATTTTCCCATTGATTCCTATTTTTTAATGTATTTTTGTTGATTTTTTAGAAAGGAAGAGGGAGAGATAGAAACATCAATGATGAGAGTCACTGAAATCCTGCCTCCTGCACGCCCCCTACTGGAGATCATGCCCACAACCTGGGCATGTGCCCTGCAAGGCCCGAATTAAACCATGGCCTCCTGATTCATAGGTCAATGCTCAAGCACTGAGCCACGCCTGCAGAGCTCCACTGATTATTAGAGAAAGTGGGGAGGGAGGGGGGAAGAGGGGAGAAACATTGATGAGAGAGACATCAACTGGTTGCCTCCTGCACACATCCCAACTGGGCTGGAAATGGAGCCTGCAACTGAGGTATCCTTTGACGGAGACCTTCAGTCCCCAGGCTGACGCTCTGTCCGCTGAGCCACACGGGCTTTGTTTTCAATCACAGTTCACATTCCATCTTATGTTGTGTCAGCACCGTTCGTTCCCGCCTGGACTTCAGACTCGCTCCCGTGGATATGAGACCATCCTGTGTTCCTCACTGGGTGGTGTGCAATCTGTGGGCCAGTTTGGGGGGCGGGGGCTGTGGCCTCACTCCTTCTCGGTCTCCCCTGCAGGTTCCCGGCTGGGTCTGCCTCCTCCTTACTACCCCCCTCCCTGTGGCTCCAAGTACCCCCACACCTGCCCCCGGGCTCCATGCTGAACCCCCAAACAGGCCCGGCCTCAGCCCTCTCCATCCCTCTAGGCCCAGCCCTGAGCCTGGTCCCTGCACACCTGCTCTCCTGGTTCCCATGACAGCAGGGGGTGTAGGTGGCCACTGGGCACCACCCTGCCCCCCGCCTTCCCAGGGAGGAAGGCTGGGTCCTGGCAGCTGGAAGTTGCAAAGAAAGAAAACAGCTTCTTTGCAGGGCCATTTGCCACGTGGACAGGCGCTGAGAGTCCCGGGTGGGGGCTGTCCCGGGCCTGCGGGAGAGATCAGGCCATCCCCCAGCTGGGCCAGAGCTGGGGACACCCCCACCCCACCCCCACTTCTGAGCTGGAAGCCAAACGCACCCGGAAGCCAGTGGGAGTGGCGGGTGGGGCTACCCTGAGGTCTGGGGGCAGACTAGGAATACCCAGCCCGGCCCCTCCCTCTCCTGGCCTCTGGCCGGACACCTGACCGCTCCCCTGCCCCCCTCCCAGCGCTCCCCCCGGCCTCCCCGCCGGGAGCGCCCCGCTCCCTGCAGGCCTCCACGTCACACTCCTTCCCCGTCCTTGGAATGGGGTGCAAACTCCTGGGTCACCTGGGTCACCGCCCCCCCGCCCTCCCTCCACCCCCCGCGCCCCCCACCCAGCAGTCTGGGTCCCCCCCTCCGCCCCCGCAGGTCTTCCTCGTGAGCCCGCAGGCCCCGCCCAGGGCCCGCTCCCCCCGCAGGCAGGCGGGGCTCACACCCAGGTCTCCCCAGGGCCGGGCCTGGCCCAGGGCGACGCCGGTGGCTGCTGCCCCAAGGCCCGGGGAGGCGGCCGGGAGGGGGCGCGGCGGCCGGGAGGGGGCGCGGTGGTCGGAGGGGGCGCGGTGGTCGGAGGGGGCGCGGCGGCCGGAGGGGGCACAGTGGTCGGAGGGGGCGCGGCGGCCGGGAGGGGGCGCGGTGGTCGGAGGGGGCGCGGCGGCCGGGAGGGGGCGCGGTGGTCGGAGGGGGCGCGGTGGCTGAGGAGGCGGCCGGGAGGGGGCGCGGTGGTCGGAGGGGGCGCGGTGGTCGGAGGGGGCGCGGCGGCCGGGAGGGGGCGCGGTGGTCGGAGGGGGCGCGGCGGCCGGGAGGGGGCGCGGTGGTCGGAAAAGGGCGCGGTGGTCGGAGGGGGCGCAGTGGTCGGAGGGGGCGCGGTGGTCGGAGGGGGCGCGGTGGTCGGAAAAGGGCGCGGTGGTCGGAGGGGGCGCGGTGGTCGGAGGGGGCGCGGTGGTCGGAAAAGGGCGCGGTGGTCGGAGGGGGCGCGGTGGTCGGAGGGGGCGCGGCGGCCGGGAGGGGGCGCGGTGGTCGGAGGGGGCGCGGTGGCTGAGGAGGCGGCCGGGAGGGGGCGCGGTGGTCGGAAAAGGGCGCGGTGGTCGGAGGGGGCGCAGTGGTCGGAGGGGGCGCGGTGGTCGGAGGGGGCGCGGTGGTCGGAAAAGGGCGCGGTGGTCGGAGGGGCGCGGTGGTCGGAGGGGGCGCGGTGGTCGGAAAAGGGCGCGGTGGTCGGAGGGGGCGCGGTGGTCGGAGGGGGCGCGGCGGCCGGGAGGGGGCGCAGTGGCGGGCACGGGGCGGCCGGAAGGCTCCGCGCCTCACCTGCCCGGTCTCCCGGGCGGCGCCTCTCCGCGTCCACACCCGTGGGAACCCCTCGGGCTCCCCGGCACCGGACACCCCGGTGTAGCGCCCGTCGCGGGGCAGAGCCGGAGGACGCACCGGGCGCGGGGAGCCCCCGGCACCCCGGGGCCCCCGCAGGCCCGGCCAGGGTGGGCGCGAAGATAGGCCGGTGGTCCCGGCGGCCCCGCAACGTCCCGCCGGGAGCCGGGGCGCGGGCGGGGGCGCAGGAGGAGGGTCCGGGGGCGCGGACCGCGCAACCCGCGGCCCAAAGGTGAGGGCAGGGCCGGCTCCTGGGCGCGGTTAGCGCTAATCCGCGGGCCCGGGGCCAGGAGCGGGCAGCTGGACGCCTGTGCCCTCCGCTCGGTCCGCGGGGCCGGCCGGGCGGGGCGGGGAGGGGGCGCGGGGGCGGGGGACGCGCTCACCTGGAGCCTGGCCCGGCCGGACCCGAACGCCTGGGGGCGGGGCCAGGCGGCGGGCGGGGCGGGGCCCGGAGTGGGGCCTAGTGGGCGGGGCGGGGCCTGGGGCGGGCGGGGCGGGGCCTGGGGCGGGCGGGGCGGGGCCTGGGGCGGGCGGGGCGGGGCAGGCGGGCGCCCGCAGACGTCAGGGACCCGCCGCGGGAGGCCGCCGCCGCTCGGCCGGGCTGCGCCGGGCTCCGCGCGCTTCGGGCCGCGCCGGGCAGGTCCTAGGTGGCGGCCCGGGCACGGCGCTCGCCGGCCGGACGGGAGGCCGGGGCCGAGCCGCAGGTAAGACGCGCCGCCTGCGCCCACGGCGGCCCGAGCCTCTGCCGCCCGCACCTGTGCGCCCGCCCGGGGGCCACGCGGGCAGGGCAGGGCCGGGGCGGGGGCCGGGAAGGGGCCGGGGCCGGGGCCTGGCCAGGGCAGGAGCAGGGGCAGGGCCGGGGCAGCGATCGGAGCCCCCCCCCGGGCTGGACAAAGGCGGGTGCGGGCCGCGGGCGCACCTGGCCGGGCCGGTCCCTGCGCCGCGGAGACGGCAGGTCTGCGCCAGGCTGGGCGGGGCCCCGGGCGCGTCTCCGCGGCCTGGGCAGGGGCGCGGGCCCGGCACCAGCTCGCCATGGCGCCGGGAGCGCTGATTCAGGAGCCGGAGCCCTCCTCCCCCTCCGGCCCGCGCTCCTGCCGCCGCCGCCGCCGGGCCTGGTCGCTGCGCCGCGGTCCCTCCCCGCGTCCTCTTCCTCCTCCTTATCCTCCTCGTCTCCCGATTCCCCTTCGCCGCCGTCTCTACCTCCCGGCCTCCTCTCCCAGCCCGTCCTAGCCTCCGTCCCGGCCTCCGATCCGCCTGCTCCTCCAGCCGCCCGCCCGGCCCCTCCCGGCCCCATCCCAGCCCCAGAACCTGCCCCTCCACCTCACCGCCCCACCTCCTGGCGGTGGCCCTCCTGGCTGGGGCCGGGGGTCACGTTTGGGGTGTTTATTATTTTTCCTCCTGGCAATGGGGGCAGGCTGTTGGGGAGCATCCATGGCCCGGGCCTGGACCTTTGGGGACAGGCTGGGCGTCGTGGCTGGGCCCGGGGTGGGGTGGGGTGGGGTGGGGGGCTCCCTTTGCCACACGCAGAGGCTGTGACCTCGTCCGGGTGGGTCTCCGTGTGCTGCCCATCCACAGCAGGTGTGGGACTCGGCGGGGGCGGGGCTGCGGGCTGGATGGGGCCCCCAGGGCCTGAGGGGTTTCTGAGGAGGCTGGGCTGTGGAGGCCTCAGGGAGTGAAGGGGCATGGGTGGTGCCTGCCTTGGTCTTGGGTCACCTCCCCCCCACCCCAGGGTGAAGGCTCTGACCTCGGAGCCGCCCTCGCCTGGGGCGTCCTCGGTCTGCCTGCTCAGGAGGCCTGAGGACATGGGGCTACTCCGTCCCTCAGCCTTCACAGCTGGTGGGCCTGGCCTCGGTCTGACCCACTGCCCATCAGGGAGGTAGCAGAGGCCTCGGGTGTGAGTCTGCAGGGACAGGGACGGGACAGGTGGGGCTGGGACCTCCACGGTGGGGCCTGCAGGGACAGGACAGGGACAGACAGGGCTGGGACCTCCACGGTGGGGCCTGCAGGGACAGGACAGGGACAGACAGGGCTGGGACCTCCACGGTGGGGCCTGCAGGGACAGGGATGGGGGACAGACGGGGCTGGGACGTCCACGGTGGGGCCTGCAGGGACAGGACAGGGACAGACGGGGCTGGGACCTCCACGGTGGGGCCTGCAGGGACAGGATAGGGACAGACGGGGCTGGGACCTCCACGGTGGGGCCTGCAGGGACAGGGATGGGGGACAGACGGGGCTGGGACGTCCACGGTGGGGCCTGCAGGGACAGGACAGGGACAGACAGGGCTGGGACCTCCATGGTGGGGCCTGCAGGGACAGGGATGGGACAGGCGGGGCTGGGACCTCCACACTGGGGCCTGCAGGGACGGGGACGGGGCTGGGACCTCCATGGTGTGGGCACCAGCAGCTCCCAGTCACTGACCCAGCGCCTAGCGAGTCCTCGCCTGCTCTGCACACGGTCAGGCCGTGGATGTGGGACCTGTGGGCCGGACCCTGCACTCGGGCTGGGCCTCCGGGCTCCCCCTTGGCTCCAGGACTAGCCGCCGGCTCTGGAGCTGGAGGCCCAGGCCCTCGCCCTGGCTGTTCCCTCTGCCTGGACCCCCCCTCCCACGCCATGTACACTCTTACACTCTCCCGCCTGCCCCTGAGCTGCTCAGGTGGTAGCAGGTGGCCCTCCCAGGAGCCTTCCCTGCACCCTCTTCACAGGCCCTCCTATCACTCACTGTTTCCCTTTAGAAGGAAGCCCCAGGCTGCATTTGATCTTGTACGCCCGCTTGTGCGCAGTGTACATGTATGTGTAGTGTGTGAGCGTGTGTGTGTAGTGTTTCAGTGTGTGTAGTGTGCTCAGTGAGGTGTGCATGTGTGTGCAGTGTGTGCACATATAGTGTGTGGTGAACCTGTATGTGTGGTGTGTGCACTACAGGTATGCATGTGTGTGCTGTGTGAGTGTGTGCAGAGGAGTGGCCAGGGCGCTGTGGGCGTGTGGGAGGTGCTCCAGGCCACGTGCACATGGGTGTGGCAGGGTGCCCACGCCCCGGAGCCTGTGCCCGTGTGGGTGCAGGGACTGCCCTGGCTGGGCTGCTCTGGGCCTGGTCTCGGTGACATCAGCTCTGGTCATTGCCCAGGCTGCCCCCACTGCCCCTCATGCCGCCATGCAGTGCCCTGCAGTCCCCACCACACTAACCCTCAGAGCCTCCTTCGCCGATGCCCCCAGACCGGGGCGCCCTTCCCTCCTGGGCGCCCTTCCCTCCTGGGCACTGCTCCTAGCCAGGGCCTGCGGGGGGTCCCAGTGGCCCCTGACCCCTGAGAGGCGTGGTCTCAGCGGAGGGAGCACTGGTGGGCGGTCCTCCTCCCGCTGCCCCCTGCCCCTGTGCCCAGGCTGGTCCCAGGATGTCCCGCTGGGGAGCGGAGCCTCTGGCTGAGAATGTGTGTCCTGGGGGTGGGGGGAGGGGGTGCCGTGGGCCTGCGTTGTGGGGACCCGGCGGTGGGGAGCGGCCCTGGGTCCGGTCACAGGACGTCTGTGGGTCCACACGCAGGCTGTGTGCCGATGCCCGTGGGAGAGGCTGTGCTGGGCCTGGAGCGTGAGGGGCCGGCGGTCCAGCGGCCCGGGGCGGGGGCCGGCGTCTCCGGGAGGTGCTGTGCGGGGTGCGGGGGAGCCGGGTGCTTGGGCCTTGGCGGGGCAGGGTCTGTGCTGCCTCGGGGGTCGGCTCGGGGGTCGGCTCGGGGGTCGGCTCGGGGGTCGGCTCGGGGGTCGGGCTCGGGGGTCGGGCTCCGGGGTCGGGCTCGGGGGTCGGCTCGGGGGTCGGCTCGGGGGTCGGCTCGGGGGTTGGGGGTCGGGCTCGGGGGTCGGCTCAGGGGTCGGCTCCGGGGTCGGCCTGGGGGTCGTCTCGGGGGTCGGGCTCGGGGGTTGGGCTCCGGGGTCGGGCTCGGGGGGTCGGGCTCAGGGGTCGTCTCGGGGGTCGGGCTCCGGGGTCGGGCTCGGGGGTCGGGCTCGGGGGTCGTCTCGGGGGTCGGGCTCCGGGGTCGGGCTCGGGGGTCGGGCTCGGGGGTCGTCTCAGGGGTCGGGCTCCGGGGCTCTGGGGTCGGGCTCCGGGGTCGGGCTCTGGGGTCGGCTGGGGCTGGCAGGGAGGGAGCCGCTCTGACAAGCTCTCCCCCCAGGGCCGGAAGGGCCTCTCGGCGCCACGATGAGCGTCACCTCCTGGTTCCTGGTGAGCAGCAGCGGCACCCGCCACCGGCTCCCGCGGGAGCTCATCTTCGTGGGGCGCGATGAGTGCGAGCTCATGCTGCAGGTGAGGGCGCCCGGCCGGGCGGGGCGGGGCGGGGCGGGGGCTGCACGCCTCCTGGCCTGGACGCTGGGGGCGGCTGCAGGCCGCGCTGACACAAGGCTCAGCCGCTGAGACTCAGGCCGGCCCCCCCGGACGGTGCTGGGGATGGTTTATCCTGCTTCCTTCTGGGCCTGCTGTGGCCGAATCTGGGGGAGTCGCACGGCCAGCTCCGACCCTCAGGCCTGTCCACGTGGCTGGCGTCCTGGAGGTGCCCTGGGGGAGGGCTGCCTGAGGCAGTGCCAGCCGGGCACCGGGAGTCTGGCCTGGGTGTGGGGTCCGGGCTCGGCTTCTGTGGGGAGCAGGATGGGGCAGGGGACGGGCTGGCCCTGGAGGGCGTACCCTCTGCTCTGAGCCTCCTGTGTGGTGCGGGGCCTGAGGGTGCGAGCTCCCCCAGGCTGGCGTCCTCCTGCCTTCTCCCATGGGCCCTCCCTGCCACTCTCCCAGGGGCTGAGCGGGGCTGGGGGTGGTGCTCGGGAGGAGTTCGGGGCCCCCTCCTGGTTTCTGGCTGGTCACGGGGCGCCCTGAGCAGGGTGGGCCGGGCCCTGGCCTGGGCCTGCCGGGGTGTCTGCCCCGGCTGCCCATCCTGTGGGGAAACTGAGGCTCGGAGGTCTGCAGGTGTGCAGTGCGTCTGGGGTGCCTCCGACCCGCCGTTCTCCGTCCTCCACCAGGGCCGCGCCAGCCTGGACGTCCTGCCTGCCGTCCGGGGGCAAACCCTGCCCTTCCCGCACCCTTAGCCATGCCTGGGGGTCCCCCTTCCACCCTCCGGCGGGCACCCCTCCCCCAGCACCCCTGCGCTGGGCCCAGCCTCTCCCGCACCTGCCCCAAGAAGGTGGCCTGGGGACGGGATGGGTGTGGACGTGGTGGGGGGGAGGGGCTCAGTCAGAGCGAGGGGCGGGCAGAGTGGAGGGGGTGGCAAGGCCAGGGCGCCGGGCGGCCTGCAGGCTTGTGTCCCTGTCTGGGCAGGAGGGGTCACGGCCTGGCCTCTGGGCAAAGGGGGACATGGCCCGGGACCACCTGACCTGAGCTGTGTGCACCGTGCAGGGTATGTATGTGCATACGCGTGAGCCCCCTGCGCACGCTCCGCAGGGCCGGCCTGGGGCCGGGCGGGCGCGGGGCGGTGCAGGGTGAGCTGGCAGCAGGCGGCCGGCCTGGGCTTGGGCTGCTGCCTGTGAGCGAGGCCTGGGCGGGGCATCCCCCGGAGGCGCAGGCGTGAGGTTTGGAAGCGCCTTTGCTCCCTTTTAAAGTGAGAGTGGACGCCCCTTCTCCCAACGCACTTTGGGTTTGGAGTCTGTGCTGTCGCCGCTCCCATTGCTTGGCGTCACACCTGGGCCGGCGCTGGGGTGGGGTTGGGGGGTCCTCCCTGCTCTGAGGAGCCCTGGTGCGGCCCCAGGTCAGAGGGGCTGGGCGGGAGCGGTGCCTGGTGACAAGCCCTGGCCGGAGTGCGCACAGCAGCCCTGCCTCTGGGTGCAGATTGGGGGTGGGCTGTGCCACGTGCAGGGAGCCCGAAGGAGGGAGAGGGGTGGTGGGTACAGGGCCGGTGGCGGTCCCAGGAGGAGAACCTGGGCCAGCGGGGGGCATGGGGCCTCCAGAGCCCGCAGAGGCGGGGGGCATGGGGCCTCCAGGGCCCGCAGAGGCGGGGGGCATGGGGCCTCCAGGGCCCGCAGAGGCGGGGGGCAGGGGGCTGGGCCTGTTGGCCCGAGGCGTGGAGAGGCCTCAGGCCTGTGACTCTGGGCAGGGCTGGCCTTCCCGCCCTGGAGGGGTCAGCAGAAGAGGGACCGGCAGGGCCAGTGGGGGCTGGGAGGACAGGATGGAGTGGCCGCAGAGCGGAGGCAGGTGGACAGGTGAGGGTGCTGAGGAGGACAGTGGGTGCTGGTGCAGGTGTGAGGGGGGTGCGGCTGGAGTGGCTCGGAGGCGGGGGGTGGCCAGGATTGGGGGCCTCCCGCTCGGGGAGGAAGGAGAGTGTTCAGGCTGCAGTGTCAGTCCTCAGAGGTGGCATCTGGCAAAAGGGACAGGTGCTCTCGCTGCCGCCCCCTGGTGGCCGTGGGTGGCAGGGCCGGGGCCAGCCCCTCCGCTGAGTCCTGGCCCAGACCAGGCCCCTCGGAGCCTTTCCCGGCAAAGCCCCGAGAGGGTGGTGCCGGCCACAAGCAGCAGGCTCAGGGCTCGCTTTCCGGGACGGCGGGTCCCTCTGCCCGGGTCCTGGGCTGTGCTGGGGCGCGGGGAGCACAGAGGGCGGGGAGCCATCCTCCCCCTGCCAGGCCGGGGCTGCCCAGGGGCAGTGACTGGCCTGTGGGGTCCCAGGATGCTCCTCCAGTGCCCCTTGGCGGGGGCGGGCCCCGCGTGGGCAGCGCAGTGGCCCTGGGCGCCAGGCCGGGGAGGCCCTGGCCAAGGCCACGGGCAGGGCCACGGGGCCGGCTCTGGGGGAGGGAGCTCCCGCAGACCTGTGTGGGGGCAGAGCGAGGAGGCGGTGCGGGTGCAGGCAGAGGGAGGCCGGGGGGAGGGCAGCGGGTCTCAAGGTCAGAGCCTCCTGGCCAGGGACCCGCAGGCTGCTCCAGGGGTGCCACCCGGTCATCTCGGGGTGGGGGGGGGCCTACCTGGGGAGGGGGCCTGGGACAGGGCACCCTGCTCCTCCCGGGCTCAGGGGGCAGGACGGGGGCGGGGGCACCGCTGCAGGAGGCTGTGTGGGCCCTGCCCCCCACCTCTCTCCCTCCTCATGGCCCCCCCAAGCCTCCAGTCCCCCCACTGTGGTGTCATCATTGTGGGTCACACCGCTATCTCGGGGCCTCAGAATCCAAACAGGTTGCAGCGACCTTGGCTGGGGACGGGGTGGGGCAGGGCGGGGCCAGAACCTACGTCCACCCCATGTCCACCCCCACCCCCCTTCCCTGGGCTGGGTCTCTGGGGAGGAAGGCGTCCTCTCCCCAGGGCTCCCCAGACATTTCTGGGCCCCGAGGACTGGGCTTGGGGGGGGTGGAAACCTGGGCTCTGAGGCAGTGGCCCGCAGCCAGGCCAGGGAGGTCCGGGCACACCCCTGTGAGCTGGGCCTGCAGGTGGGGGGACGCAGGGACGCAGGTCCTAGCCACCTTCCCAGGGGGGGTCCTGTCCCCGGCGGCAGGGAGCTGCTGTGGAGGGGGGCCTGGGAGTCCTGGGGCCCTGCCTGGCAGCCCCCAGGGTCACATGCTGCCATCGGGGTGGGCAGCCCCCGGGGCTGGCCGGTGGTGCGGGGTCTCCCAGGGCGGGGCCTGGACCTGTGGCCCCTCAGGCGCCAGGGCCTCCTGCCGGGTGGCCGGGTCCTGGGCCGGGTGGGCAGCGGGTGCTGGGACCCCGGGCTCAGCCATGCCAGGCCTGAGGGGGTGGCCGGCGGCCCGGCCCGGCCCCTGTGGGTCCCCAGGCCCTGGAGTGGAGGGGGAGGGCGGGCTGGCCCTCCAGCGGGCAGTGAGGGGCTGGCTGTGTCCTCGGGAGGGGGTGGGGGAAGCATTGGCAGTGCCAGGCGGAAGTGCCGTGTGCGCCAGGCGGGTGTGCCCAGGTACGTGCGAGTCTGGTGCGTGAACGCAGAGCCTGCAAGGTTCAGGAGGGGTCACCCAGGTCCGGGTGCACGTGGGGCGGGCTAGTGGGCGGGAGTGGGGGAGGCTTCTCCCCTCCCTCCGGTTCTGCCGGACCTGCCCGTCCTCCCTGGCTGCCCTCGGAGGGAACATCACATCCCAGCCAGCAGAGGGTTCCCAGCCTCCCACGGGGGGAGGGGGTCACTAAAGTGGGGCCTGGGTGGCCCCGGTGCCGGGGAGGAGCCAGCTGGCATCTGGCAAACCTCCGGCCTGATCTGGTGCCGGGGCTGGCGGGCCGGGCACACACCCTGCAGGGTGAGGTGTGAGGTGTGGGTGGGACGGTGGGCTCTGAGGCTGTGAGGCTGGCGGTGGGGCCGTGGTGGGGACAGTGGGGCCCCGCATGTGCTGTTGCCTCCTGGGATTGCCCAGCGGGAAGGTCCCTGACATGGCCGGTGCCCGGTGCCCCAGTCCCGCAGCGTGGACAAGCAGCACGCCGTCATCAACTACGACCAGGACCGCGATGAGCACTGGGTGAAGGACCTGGGCAGCCTCAATGGGGTGAGTGCGGGCACCACCCCTCCACGGCCCTTCCCTCTGCGCTGGCCACGCCCCTCCATGCCCCCTCCCTCTGCGCTGGCCACGCCCCTCCACGCCCCTCCCTCTGCGCTGGCCACGCCCTTCTCCATGACCACACCCTCCATGGTCCCACCTCCCTCTGCACAGCCCCATTCCCTCCATGGCCTCTCTGCACTGTCCCCGCCCCTCTTCATGGCCCCGCCCTTTGCACTGACCCCGCCCCTCCATGGCCCCGTCCTCTGCACTGGCCCCGCCCCTCCATAGCCCCGCTCCTCCATGACCCCTCCCTCTGCTGGGCTCACCCCAGCTCTGTCCCTCTCTGGGGCCCCCCTCTGGACCACACCTCCGCTGAGTGTCCCCGGCCCCACAGCACCCCTGCTCAGTGGGCAGCCACCCTCTCAGCAGGCTCCCGTGGGGAGCGGAGCCAGACAGCCTGGCCCGGCCTGACCAGCCTCGCCATGGACCACCTGGCGTGTGCCTCGCTGCTCCCGAGGGCACCGTGGCCGGGGCCGGGCAGCACAGGTCTGAGTGGACGAGCGGAAGTCCGCCTCACAGAGACGGCCGGGTGTTCAGCTGGAGGGGCTGCACCCCGTCCGGCACCGCCAAGGCCGGGCTCTGCCACCCCTCAATTCAGCGGCGTCTGTCCCTGCCGGTGGGCTCCAGGCTGGATGACCCCTCAGCTGGCCTGGCCCCCCTCAGCTGGCCCGGCCCCCCTCAGCCGGCCCGGCCCCCCTCAGCCGGCCCCCCTCAGCCGGCCCAGCCCCCCTCAGCCGGCCCCCCTCAGCCGGCCCGGCCCCCCTCAGCCGGCCCGGCCCCCCTCAGCCGGCCCGGCCCCCCTCAGCCGGCCCGGCCCCCCTCAGCCGGCCCGGACCCCCTCAGCCGGCCCGGCCCCCCTCAGCCGGCCCGGCCCCCCTCAGCCGGCCCGGACCCCCTCAGCCGGCCCGGACCGCCTCAGCCGGCCCGGCCCCCCTCAGCTGGCCCGGCCCCCCTCAGGCGGCCCCCCTCAGCCGGCCCAGACCCCCTCAGCCGGCCCGGACCCCCTCAGCCGGCCCGGCCCCCCTCAGCCGGCCCGGACCCCCTCAGCCGGCCCGGACCCCCTCAGCCGGCCCGGACCGCCTCAGCCGGCCCGGCCCCCCTCAGCCGGCCCGGCCCCCCTCAGCCGGCCCGGACCCCCACAGCCGGTCCCCCTCAGCCGGCCTGGACCCCCTCAGCCGGCCCCCGTCAGCCGGCCCCTCAGCCAGCCCGGACCCCCTCAGCCGGCCCCCCTCAGCCGGCCCGGACCCCCTCAGCTGGCCCGGACCCCCTCAGCTGGCCCGGACCGCCTCAGCCGGCCCCCCTCAGCCGGCTCGGCCCCCCTCAGCTGGCCCGGACCCCCTCAGCCGGCCCGGCCCCCCTCAGCCGGCCTGTCTCCGCAGACGTTCGTGAACGAGGTGCGCATCCCGGACCAGAAGTACGTCACGCTGAAGCTCAATGACGTCATCCGCTTCGGCTACGATATCCTTTCCCCCGAGCTCCCTCCGGCTCCCGCCCCTGGGCCCCCTGCTCCCGGGCCCCCCTTGCCCTTATCCTGGGAGCAGGGGCCTTAGCAGGGCGAGGGCGGCGAGAAGGACCGCCCACGGGCCTGCCTCACCCAGGGCCCGAGGGACGAGCGAGCCCCCTCCCTGGGCCCTGAGCCCTGAGCCTGGGCTGGGCCTGGCGCTCCGGGCCCAGACTCGGCGGGTGGGGCCGTGCCTCCCCAGGCAGCGGGCCCGCACACACGCAGGACAGCGTGCTGTTCAGCCTGCATTCGGGGGCTCACCGGCCGGGGCCCTGCCACCCCGGGAACCTTGGGTGGTCCGGGATGGCTGGAGGGGGTGCCCTCGGGGGCTCCTGCCTGCCATGCCCCGTGAGTGGCGGTGAGTGGGGGCGCACGGTGTGCCCTGAGCCCGTGGGCATGTGACCTGGAGTGGCCTATGCCCTCCACCCCTCCGGTGGGGGAGCACAGGTGCAGGCTGTGCCCGCGGCGTGGACACGTGCCCGGTGCACACGGCGTGGGGGGCAGCGTGATGCCGGGCCTCCCTCCCTGAGCCGGCCTGCCCGGAGCGCCCCTTTATCTCCGGCTGAGCTGTCCCTCCCGTTGTCCTTAACGCCCCCACATGCCAACATGTACGTGCTGGAGCGTGTGCAGCACCGCGTGCCTGAGGAGGCGCTCAGGGTCAGTGCCAGCGCCCGCCGGCCCCGTGTGTCCCTGTGTCCCCACCCCGTCCTCCCTGGCCAGCACCCCGGCCGGCCCGGCCTGCTCTGCAGGGCCACCCAGTCCGGCAGGTGGGGAGGCAGGCATTCCCGGCCAGGCTGCAGCAGCCACCGCGGGGGCGTGGCTGTGGGTGTAGCGTGGCCCTGGCATGCACAGACACCTCGACCCCCACATGCACACACACGTACATGTGCAGACACCCACATGCAGACACCCACACGTGCACGAATGCAAAGACACACTAAAATGTGTACACTTTTAGGCATACTGTGCACACACATGTGTAGTCATGCTCTCACACATGCACCGGAGCAGACGTGTGCATATATGAGCATACATTCTCACAGGCACATGGGAACACACACACACACGTGTATACACACATAGACCCACATACATGCACACGTATACACATATGCGTGTGAACATATGTTCTCACAATTGCTTGGACAGGCCACTGTTCCCCCCGCGTGGCCCCTGAGTGGCTGACCCGTGCCCGGGCCCGCCCGCCCCTCTGGTGGGCTGGGTTGCAGTCTCCCCTCGAGCATTGCTGCCCACCCCCTCCTCCACCTGAGCAAGCGGCTCCCCGGAAGGCCTTGTGGTTCTGGGGTCCCCGGGCAGGGGCAGGGGCAGGCAGGGCTCAGGCTGCCCCGGGGGGGGGGGGGTGTCCTGAGGCGGAGGGCCTCACTGCCTCCTCCCGCAGCACGAGAAGTACACCAGCCAGCTGCAGGTGAGCACCAAGGGGCCGGCGCCCAAGAGGGCCGAGGCGCTGCCGGAGCAGGCGCCGTACTGCGAGTCCTCCAGCTCCCGGCCGGAGCGTGACCGGAGGCCCGGCACAGGTATGACAGCGGCGGCCTTGCCGGCCGGCAGGCACCGGCCTGCCCCCAGGCGGCTCCCACGGCTCCCGATTCACCTCACGGGGAGCAGTCCTCTCCCCCCCCACCCCTTCCTCCGCCTCAGCTCTGGGCTCCCACCCCCAGCAGCCATGGCACAGCCAGCTCACATATGAGCCCTGGTGCCCATGTACACGCCCTGCACACACACCCAACCATGCACGCCTGCCCCCTGCACACACACCCATCCACACACCCCTGCCCCCTGCACACACACCCACCCATACACACCTACCTCTTCACACACACCCATCCACACACCCCTGCCCCCTGCACACACACCCACCCATACACACCCACCTCTGCACACACACCCATCCACACACTCCTTTCCCCTGCACACACCCACCCATCCACACCTACCTCTGCACACATACCCATCCACACACCCTTGCCCCCTGCACACACACACACACCCATACACACCTACCTCTGCACACACACCCATTCATACACCCCTGCCCCCTGCACACACACCCATCCATATAGCCCTGCCCCCTGCACACACACCCATTCATACACCCCTACCCCCTGCACACACACCCACACACGCACACCTGCCCCCTGCACACACACATCCATACACCCCTGCCTCCTGCACACACACACACCTACACACCCCTGCCCCCTGCACACACACCCATCCACACACACTTGCCCCTGCTCACACACCCACACCCCTGCCCCTGCACAGTGAGCTGTCACCCTCATCCACGTGGCAGGCTCGGAGCTGTTGGCAGCTGGTCCTGGGCGGCTGCAGGCTGGAGCTGGAGGCGATGCCAGCCTGCCCGCCTGCCCCAGTCCCCCCGCTGTGGTCTGCCCTGTGGTTGGGCCCCAGTGACCTGGAGTCCACGCTCCCTCCGCAGAAACGGCCACCTACCGCACCCCCCTGTACGGGCAGCCCTCCTGGTGGGGGGAGGATGACGCGGGCGCCCCGTCGGAGGACCGGCCGCCCGAGGGGCCGTACCCAGGTGGGTCCCGGGCCGGACAGGCCATGGAGCCCGGACTCCATCTGCGGGATGGAGCTCCCATCCAGGGAGGTGGTGGGGAAGGGTGCCGCCCTCGGTCCCCCCTGAGGAGGTGTCCCCGAACCCCAGAGCGGCCCAAGGAGCTGGCTCCGCAGGACGGGGAGCTGGCCGGCACGCCGCCCGGCCTCCGGGCCCCCTCGGAGCCCCAGGGCTACGCCTTCCGCCGGGAGCCCAGCTACTTCGAGATCCCCACGAAGGAGCCGCCGCCCCGGCCGCCCGAGGCGCCGGCCCACGAGGCGCCCACCAGGGACGTGGCGCCGGGCGGCGTGCCCGTGGTGCAGAGCCACGCCTCCTTCACCATCGAGTTCGACGACGGCAGCCCGGGCAAGCTGAAGATCAAGGACCACGTCACCAAGTTCTCGCTGCGCCAGCGGCGGCCGCCCGGCAGGGCCGCGCCTGGCGAGGCGGTCTCCGCCGAGACCAAGGTGGCCGACTGGCTGGTGCAGAACGACCCCAGCCTGCTGCGCCAGGCGGGCCCCGGCGAGGACCGCCACAGCGCCAAGAGCGACCTGCCCGTCCACGCCCGCACCCTGAAGGGTGAGTGCCCCTGCCTGGCCGCGTGTCCCTCCCAGGGCAGGGCCCTCTCTGCTTGAAGTCCATTTTTATTTTTAAAATATATTTTATTGATTTTTTACAGAGAGGAAGGGAGAGGGATAGAGAGTTAGAAACATCGATGAGAGAGAAACATCAACCAGCTGCCTCTTGCACACCCCCTACTGGGGATGTACCCACAGCTAACATACATGCCCCTGACCGGAATCGAACCCGGGACCTTTCAGTCCGCTGACAGATGCTCTACCACTGAGCCAAACCGGTTTCGGCCCATTTTTATTTTTATTTTTTAAAATATATTTTATTGATTTTTCGCAGAGAGAAAGGGAGAGGGATAGAGAATTGGAAACATCAATGAAAGAGAAACATCCATCAGCTGCCTCCTGCACACCTCCCACGGGGGATGTGCCCAGAGCCAAGGTACATGCCCTTGACCAGAATCGAACCTGGGACCTTTCAGTCTGCAGACCGACGCTCTATCCACTGAGCCACACCGGTCAAGGCTCAATTTTCCTTTTAAAAAATATATTTTTATTGATTTCAGAGGGGAAGGGAGAGGGAGACGGAGAGAAGCATCCATGAGGAGGTAGATCGTGGATCGGCTGCCTCCTGCAGGCCCCTCCGGGGTGACCAGCATGGTCCCGGGACTCACCTGGGTCACGTGTGCGGGGTTCCGTGGGGCGTGCGGCTCGGGTGCCATGTCCCCAGCCGCAGGTGACAGCGTGGTTTGGTGTGCCGGCCCCCTGGAGCTCACGCGCTGGGGTCCCGCCCCCCAGGCCACAAACACGAGGACGGCACGCAGAGCGACTCGGAGGACCCGGTGGCCAAGGCGGCGGCGGCGGCGGCGGCTGGGGTCCCCCTGGAGAACGGGGAGCAGGCGCGGCTGCAGAGGCAGATCAAGCGAGACCCCCAGGAGCTGCTGCACAACCAGCAGGCCTTCGTCATCGAGTTCTTCGACGAGGACACGCCCCGCAAGAAGCGCTCCCAGTCCTTCACGCACGCCCCGCCCGGGGACCCCAAGCTGGACAAGCGCCGCGGCCCCGGGCCCGCCGACAGCCGCGGGGGCGCCCCGGTCCCGGCCCTGTCCCGGGGGGCGGGCAGCAGCGCGGGGCCGCAGCGGGCCAGCTCGCTCAAGCGGGAGAAGACGGAGGAGCGGCTGGCTGGCCCCCCCACGCCCGCCCGGGCCTCCGCGCGCCCCTTCGGCTCTGTGGGGCGCCGCTCGCGCCTGGCCCAGGACTTCATGGCCCAGTGTCTGCGGGACGGCTCGCCGGCCGCCCGCCCCAGCCACAGCCCCGGCCCCGGCCCCGGCCCCGGCCCCGCCCCCGAGAAGGTGGCCACGGCGCTGCCCGCCCCGCTGACGCCCCGCGGGGCCAGTCCCGTGGCCCTCTCGCCCCCGCCGCCCCCCGCGGACCCCCAGCTCACCAAGGCGGACCCCCAGCTCACCAAGGCGCGCCGGCAGGAGGAGGACGACAGCCTCAGCGATGCGGGCACCTACACCATCGAGACGGAGGCGCAGGACCGGGAGGTGGAGGAGGCCCGCAAGATGATCGACCAGGTGAGTGCCCCTCGGTCAGGCCCCGGTGGTGGGCCGGTCAGGGGCCCTCCTCCCGGGGGGCGTGTCTGGGCAGAGGGGGCGGGGAAAGGGCGTGTCATGGGGGTGGGGTGGGCGGGGCGTGCCAGGGCGTGGTGTGTGTGTGGGGGGGCATGGGCGGAGGCGGGCTGGCCGGGCGGGGATGGAGGGGTGGGGCCGGGGGGGTAGGGGTGGGCTGGGCGAGCCTGGGTGGACGTGGGCGGGGCGTGCTGGGCTGGGCGTGGCGGGCGGGTGCCCTGACAGCTGCCCCTCCCGCAGGTGTTCGGGGTACTGGAGACGCCTGACCTGTCCAGGGCGTCCTCGGCCATCTTCCGCCCAGTCATCCGCGGGGACGGAGAGGAAGCCGGCGACGGGATGGTCCAGCGGGTGTCCCTGCTGCAGGAGCTCACCTCCCGGCCGGTGGGCGTGGCCCCCCAGGGGGAGCTCCAGGTACGCGGGGGCCACGCACTGGCCACACACGGGCCACGCACAGACACCGCCCAGGTCCACGCTGGGCCGCCATGGGCCCTGTATGCACTCACCCAGGCTCCAGTTCTGCCTGGAGCTGGACTCCAGACCCCAGAGAGGCTGGGCCCTGGGTCCAGATGGCACGTGGGTGTGTGCTGGGCCCAGTCCAGGTGGTGTGTTGGGGTCTCTCAGCCTAAGGGAGGCAGCGGGGCGTCCGGCTGTTTGTGGGGGGACTCCCCCGTCTACTGACACACCCCTGCCTTCTCCCTGCAGGACCCCCCAGTGCCAGGCTCCCCTGGAGGCCCAAAGTGGGTGTCCCGCTGGGCCAGCCTGGCTGACAGCTACTCGGACCCGGGTCTGGCTGGTAAGTGGCTCCAGGGCTATTCCAGGGGGCGTGTGGGGGGGTGAGCTCGTGTGGCCGAGCCTGGGATAGGGGTGGGCACTGTGTGCCCGAGGCCGGAGGCCGGTGGCTGTGACCGCTGCCCTTGTCTCCGCAGAGGACGGCCCAGGCCGCAGAGCCGGGGAGCCGGAGGCGGCCGCGCCCGCGCGCCAGCGGCGGCTGCTCCCCGCGCTCCCCAGCGAGCGGGCGGGCAGCCCCGCCGGCCCCGAGGCCGCCAGGAGGAGTGGGCCGGGGCCCCCGGAGCCGGGCGGCGAGCCGGCCGGCCGCCTCCCGGGCCAGGAGGACGTGGAGCCCGACAGCCTCAGCGATGCCAGCGGCTCGGACGGCCCCCCGGAGGGGCTGGTGTGGAGGCGGGGCCGGTGCTCCCCGAGGGCCACGGGGGAGCCGGCCCCCGGCGCGACGCCTGTGGCTCCGGGGGCGGCCGAGGGCCCGGGGCGGGCGGCCCAGCCCTGCGCCCCCGCCAGGGACGGCGTCTACGGCAGCGCCAGCGGCGGGATGGCCCTCAGGCTGCAGACGGCCGGCCGGCCGCCCGAGCCCGAGGGCCCCGGCCCGGCCAGGGAGGCCGCGGCCTTCGTCCGGCAGGAGAGCTTCACCAAGGACCCGGCCCGCGGCCCCCCGGCGCCCGGCCAGCTCCCCACCATCTCCAGCCACCCGCTCCTGCAGGACCTGGCCGCCGCCCGGGCCTCGCGCATGGACGTCCACTCCCAGGACACCCAGCTGATCCTGAAGGAGACCGAGACGGCCCTGGCGGCCCTGGAGGCCCGGCTGCTCTCCAAGTCCGCGGCCGAGGGCGAGGGCGCGGCGGGCGGCGCCCCGGGGCCGCCCGAGGACTCCCTGTCCGGCGACTCGGACGTGGACACGGCCAGCACCGTCAGCCTGCTCAGCGGCAAGAACGGGCCCAGCCCCACGAGCCCCCAGCTGCTGGGGCCGCAGCGGGAGAAGCCGCCAGCGCAGGGCCTGGGGGGCGGCCCCCCGAGCGGCGCCCGGGACTGGCTCTCGGAGAAGCCTCGCCGCCCGGCGGGCCAGACGGACGCGGGCCGCGGGGAGCCGGGGCGGCGCCTGGCCGTCCGGCGAGGCCAGGGGTCGCTGGACTGGCCGGACGAGGAGCGCGGCTCCGGCCTGGCCCGGGACGGCTCGGACACGGCCGCCTCGGACCAGGAGACGCCCGGGATCACCAGGACGGGGCGGCCCGGGTCCCGCCGGAAGCCCGCGGCCCCGCCGCCCTCGCCGGCCGCCCGGGAGGAGCAGGGCCGCGTGTCGGCCAGCGCGCAGAAGGTGCAGCAGGCGCTGACCCGCTCCAACAGCCTGTCCACCCCGCGGCCCACACGCGCCTCCCGGCTGCGGCGGGCCCGGCTGGGCGACGCCTCGGACACGGAGGCCGCGGACGGCGAGCGGGGGGCCCCGGCCAACGGCCAGGAGCCGGCGGGCCGCCCGGCCGCCGAGCAGGCCCGGAAGCTCTCGCGCCTGGACATCCTGGCCATGCCCCGCAAGCGGGCGGGCTCCTTCACCGGGCCCGGCGAGGCCGAGGCCGCCCCCGCCCGCTCCGGCTTCTCCGGCCGCAGCGCCGAGCTGCCCTGCTCCAGCCGCAAGCCCACCAGGGCCGAGGCCCAGCCCGCCGCCCGGAGGACCGCCCCCGCCGCCCGCCAGCCCTTCAGCAGGGCCCGCCCGGGCAGCGCCCGCTTCTCCTCCCCCAGTGAGTGCCCGGGGAGCGGGCGGAGGGGCGGCTTCCGGTGTCTGGGGCCCTGTTCGCTGGGCGGGCGGCACTGAGGGCTCCCGGGCGGGTGCTCGGGCCGGGCCTCCCTGGTGTCCCGCTGGCCTGGGTGAGGGCGGGACCCTCCAACCGTGTCTGGGTGTTCGCGATGGAGGGGCCCCTCCTGGGTGGGACCCTGTGGTGTGCAGGCTGGGCCGTCCGTGTGGGCTGGGGCCGGGGGAGGGGACGCTGCCCTCTGGCTGCTATCGGGGTGTGGCGCCCCAGGTGCCCTCTCCCCACCCCACACGAGTCACGTGCAGCGAGGAGGGCCCGGCCTCCTGCCCCGGCAGCTGGACACCCACGCCTGCCCAGCGGGCTGACCCAGCGGCCCGACCCGCAGCTCCGAGTGAATTGGTTTAAGGTGTAGACGCTGCTGTTGCTGCTGCCACCTGGACACCCCCTCCCGCATCTGGACACCCCTCCCCCACCCAGACACCCCTCCCCCATCTGGACACCCCTCCCTCACCCAGACACCCCTCCCGCATCTGGACACCCCTCCCTCACCCAGACACCCCTCCCCCATCTGGACACCCCTCCCTCACCCAGACACCCCTATCCCCACCCAGACACCCCCTCCCGCATCTGGACACCCCTATCCTCACCCAGACACCCCCCCCAGACACCCCTATCCTCACCCAGACACCCCTATCCTCACCCAGACACCACTCCTCCATCTGGACACCCCTATCCTCACCCAGACATCCCCTCCCCCACCCAGACACCCCTCCCCCACCCAGATACCCTCCCCCACCCAGATACCCCTCCCCCACCCAGACACCCCTCCCCCACCCAGACACCCCTATCCCCACCAAGATACCCCCTCCCCCACCCAGACACCCCCTCCCCCACCCAGACACCCCTATCCCCACTCAGATACCCGTCTCCCTCCCCACGCTGGCTCAGCCTGAGAGCTAATTCCGAAGCGGATGCTGAGCTGTGGGGTGCACTGGAGGAAGGGGTGGCTTGCTCTGAATGCTGCCTGCGCACCCCCCCCCCCCCCCCACTTATTGATTGTGCACGATGTGGCCACGTGGAGCTCAGAGCAGGGCTGTGCACGGTCAGGTGGAGGGTCAGGCTGGTGCAGGGAGGGTGAGGGGTGAGGTCAGACTCTGCCACAGGCCAGGCTGTGCTCAGCACCCAGGGCTGGGACCATCCTACTGGGAGGTGTGCCCGTCTGGTGTGTGGGCACCACTGCCCGGCCACCAGGACAGCTCCCGCTGAGGCACAGCCCGGCCGTGGAGACGCCGGCCGCCCAGCCCTGCATGTGCCTCGGCTGGTGGTGGCCTCCAGACCCTGCGCTTAGCTGCTGCCGGCACTGCGGCTGAGTGCCCGGTGCAGGGGCAGCACCAGGCCTGCGGGGGCCTGAGGCTGCCAAGCTGAGCGCCGCCCGTTCTGTTCTTGCTCCTGGAACCAATTCACTCGCCCAGGCGCGCGCCGCCGGCAGCAGGGCTCCGACTGCACGTCCACCTCGGAGGAGGAGTACGGCTCCCGCCACGGCTCCCCCAAACACACGCGCTCCCGTGCCTCAACAGCCACGCAGACGCCTCGGGCCGGCTCCCGGGCCCGGCCCCGGGGCCCCGGCCTCCGGGACACCGACGACGAGGAGGAGCCCAACCCCTACGGGTTCATCGTGCAGCCGGCCGAGATCGCCGAGATCGCCAGGTGCGGGCCGGGTGGAGCACCCGAGGGCAGGGCTGGGGCTGGGCTCTCTTCCCAGGTGGCTTCACAAATGCTCTTTGGGTGGAGGGGTGATTGGATGGGAGGAGGGAGGAGGGATGGATCGTCAGGTGGATGGATGGGTGGGTGGATGGATGGATGGATGGGTGGGTGGATGGATGGGTGGATGGATGTGTGGATGGATGTGTGGATGGGTGGGTGGATGGATGGGTGGGTGGATGGATGTGTGGATGGGTGGGTGGATGGATGGGTGGGTGATAAGATAGGAGGATAGATAAGGGTGAGGGATAGAGGTCAGGTGGGTAGAGGGGTGGATGAAGGATAGCCGAGAGGATGGCTGGGTAATTGGATGCATGGATGGATGGGTTTTGGATGGGTGGGTGGTTGGATGGGTGGGTGGATGGATGAGTGGGTGGATGGATGAATGGGTGGTTGGATGAATGGGTGGTTGGATGGGAGGATGGATAGGGAGAGGGATAGAGGTCAGGTGGGTAGAGGGGTGGATGAAGGATGGCTGAGTGGATGGCTGGGTAATTGGTTGCATGGATGGATGGGTGGGTAGTTGGATGGGTGGGGGGTTGGATGGGTGGGTGATTGGATGGATGGGTGGTTGGATGGATGGATGAGTGGGTGGATGGATGAATGAGTGGATGTATGAATGGGTGGTTGGATGGGAGGATGGGTGGGAGGATGGATAGGGAGAGGGATAGGGGTCAGGTGGGTAGAGGGGTGGATGAAGGATGGGTGAATGGAAGGGAGGATGGGTGAGTGGATGGGTGGTGGATGAGGGATGGGTGAGTGGAAGGGAGGATGGGTGAGTGGAAGGGAGGATGGGAGAGTGGATGGATGGGTGGATGAGGGATGGGTGAGTGGATGGGTGGTGGATGAGGGATGGGTGAGTGGAAGGGAGGATGGGTGAGTGGAAAGGAGGATGGGTGAGTGGAAGGGAGGATGGGTGAGTGGATGGATGGGTGGATGAGTGGGTGGATGGATGAATGAGTGGTTGTATGAATGGGTGGTTGGATGGGAGGATGGGTGGGAGGGTGGATGGGTGGATGAGGGATGGATGTCAGACAGAGGGATGGGTGGCTGGGTGGGTGCAGACGTTCCTGGGAGGACGGGGCCTCTGGACGCAGACGCCTCCACAGAGCTCTGGCTGACGATGTGCTCCGTGTGGTCGCTCACCAGAAGGCCTCCTCAGGCCGGGTGCAGAGAGGTGGGGGCGGGTCCTCTCAGCAATGACGGGCCTGCGGGGCCTGTGGGGGCAGGAGGGTCCGGGCTGGGTGGTCTGAGAGCCACGGGGGCTGTGGAGAGGCAGACGGGGCCGGCGGGGCTGGGGCTCAGCTCCCTGGGCCGCCCTGCGCGGTGGGGAGGTCCTGGCTTATCTGCTTTCCCGCCTTTTCCTCTGCCCCATTCTGCCCCTTGCCTGAGGCCCCGCCCCCTCTCCTGCCTCAGTTTCCCTCTGTGTTCGTGGCAGCCCTGGTGGTTAGCCCCTGTCCCTGGAGGAGGAGGGGGTGCCTGCCTGGGAGCCCGTGGGTGTCTGCCCAACCTCCCTGCTCTGGCCCTGCCCCAGCTCACCCCCGCCCCATGCCCGCCTCCCTCCCGGACCCCCGGACGTGTGCCTCCGGTGGAGCCTTGGCCAGTGGCTGGTTGGGCGAAGTGTGGGCCAGGCTGCAGGCCGCATGCCCCACTCAGCGGCCGCCCTGGGGGACTCGTCCTTGGGAGGGTGTGGGCCGGGGAGGGGCATCGAGTCCTGCTCCCGCCCTCCCGCCGGGCAGGCTGGGAGGCCCCACAGACCTGCTTTCCGCCCGCAGGCTGAGCCAGACGCTGGTGAAGGACGTGGCCATCCTCGCCCGGGAGATCCACGACGTGGCGGGGGACGGCGACTCGCTGGGCCCCCCGGGGCCCACCCGCAGCTCCTCCCTCGGCAACATGCCCAGCACCCCCGCCTCCACCATCTCCGCCCGCGAGGAGGTGAGCAGCCCGGCCGAGGGCAGAGGGCAGAGGGGAGAGGGCAGAGGGGAGAGGGCAGAGGGGAGAGGGGAGAGGGCAGAGGGGAGAGGGCTGAGGGGAGAGGGCTGAGGGCCGAGGGCAGAGGGCTGAGGGCAGAGGGGTGAGGGGAGAGGACTGAGGGGAGAGGGCGGAGGGCAGAGGGCAGAGGGCTGAGGGCAGAGGGCAGAGGGCTGAGGGCAGAGGGCAGAGGGGAGAAGGGAGAGGACTGAGGGGAGAGGGCGGAGGGCAGAGGGCAGAGGGCTGAGGGCCGAGGGCCGAGTGCAGAGGGCAGAGGACAGAGGGGAGAGGGGAGAGGGCAGAGGACAGAGGGCAGAGGGCAGAGGGGAGAGGGCAGAGGACAGAGGGCAGAGGGCAGTGGGCCGAGGGCAGAGGACAGAGGGCAGAGGACAGAGGGCAGAGGACAGAGGGCCGAGGGCCGAGGGCAGAGGGGAGAGGGCTGAGGGGAGAGGGCAGAGGGCCGAGGGGAGAGAGGAGAGGGCAGAGGGCAGAGGGAGAGGGCCCTCACGGAGGCCACCCTGGGGGGCACAGGATCCAGGACCTGCCTCCATCAGGGGTGGGGTGTCGGGGGTCCCTGAGCCCCAGGCGGGGGTTGTAGCAGAGGAGGCACCCCTCTCCGGCTGACCCCCCGCCCCCCCAGCTGGTGCAGCGCATCCCCGAGGCCAGCCTCAACTTCCAGAAGGTGCCGCCCGGCGCCCTGCTCTCCCGGGACCTGGACCAGAACATGAACGACCGCCGTGAGGACGGCCTGGCCAACAGGACGCGGCCGCGGAACCGCGAGGAGGCAGGCCCCCCGACCGGCCACACGCCCGGGGCCCTGGGGGGGGGTGGCTGCGGGGCCTCGTGCTGTGCTGATGCCTGGGCCCCGCAGGCGATCTTCGACAACCTCCTGCTGAACCCCGTGTCCCAGCTGTCCCAGGCCATCCGCGAGAACACGGAGCACCTGGCCGAGAAGATGAAGTGAGTCTCGCACGCGCGCGCGGCGGCCGGGCCCCCGGGAGACCCACGCCCCCCCCCCCCCCCCCCGCGCCCTCCCCGCCCCCGCCTGCCCCAGGCAGAGCCCGCCCGCCGGGCCTGTTCCCCTGGGGCCCAGGAGGGGTCTGGGCGGGTGCTCAGGCCCGTCACCATCCTGTCCGCCCTGCCCCCGGCTGGCAGGATCCTCTTCCAGAACTCGGGGCGCACGTGGGAGGACCTGGAGGCCCGCCTCAACGCCGAGAACGAGGTGCCCATCCTGAAGACGTCCAACAAGGTGAGCGGGGCGGCCATGTGGGCACAGGCAGGACCGACCCTGTCCCCAGCCACAGGCCCTGACCCCTGACCCCCTCCCCCACCCCCAGGCAGGCCCTGACCCCTGACCCCCTCCCCCACCCACAGGCAGGCCCTGACCCCCTCCCCCACCCACAGACAGGCCCTGACTCCCTCCCCCACCCACAGGCAGGCCCTGACCCCCTCCCCCACCCACAGGCAGGCCCTGACTCCCTCCCCCACCCACAGACAGGCCCTGACCCCCTCCCTCACCCACAGGCAGGCCCTGACTCCCTCCCCCATCCACAGACCCCTAACCCCCTCCCCCACCCACAGACAGGCCCTGACCCCCTCCCCCACCCACAGGCAGGCCCTGACCCCTGACCCCCTCCCCCACCCACAGGCCCCTGACCCCCTCCCCCACCCACAGGCCCCTGACCCTCCTCCCCCACCCACAGACAGGCCCTGACCCCCCCCCCCCCACCCACAGACAGGCCCTGACCCCCTCCCCCACCCACAGACAGGCCCTGACCCCCTCCCCCACCCACAGGCCCTGACCCCCTCCCCCACCCACAGACAGACCCCTCCCCCACCCACAGGCAGGCCCTGACCCCCTCCCCCACCCACAGGCCCCTGACCCCCTCCCCCACCCACAGACAGACCCCTCCCCCACCCACAGATAGGCCCTGACCCCCTCCCCCACCCACAGGCCCCTGACCCCCTCCCCCACCCACAGGCAGGCCCTGACCCCCTCCCCCACCCACAGACAGACCCCTCCCCCACCCACAGATAGGCCCTGACCCCCTCCCCCACCCACAGGCCCCTGACCCCCTCCCCCACCCACAGGCAGGCCCTGACCCCCCTCCCCCATCCACAGACAGGCCCTGACCCCCTCCCCCACCCACAGACAGGCCCTGACCCCCTCCCCCACCCACAGACAGGCCCTGACCCCCTCCCCCACCCCCAGGCCCTGACCCCCTCCCCCACCCACAGGCAGGCCCTGACCCCCTCCCCCACCCACAGGCAGGCCCTGACCCCCCCCCCCCATCCACAGACAGGCCCTGACCCCCTCCCCCACCCACAGACAGGCCCTGACCCCCTCCCCCACCCACAGACAGGCCCTGACCCCCTCCCCCACCCACAGGCAGGCCCTGACCCCCTCCCCCACCCACAGATAGGCCCTGACCCCCTCCCCCACCCACAGGCCCCTGACCCCCCCCCCCCCCCACAGGCAGGCCCTGACCCCCTCCCCCACCCACAGACAGGCCCTGACCCCCTCCCCCACCCACAGGCAGGCCCTGACCCCCTCCCCCAGCCCACAGACAGGCCCTGACCCCCTCCCCCACCCACAGGCCCTGACCCCCTCCCCCACCCACAGACAGGCCCTGACCCCCTCCCCCACCCACAGACAGGCCCTGACCCCCTCCCCCACCCACAGGCCCTGACCCCCTCCCCAGCCCACAGACAGGCCCTGACCCCCTCCCCAGCCCTGGCTGCAGAGCGGCCATGGCCACTGGCCCAGGCTCTGCCCATCAGCCCTCCCTCCTCCCAGGAGATCAGCTCCATCCTGAAGGAGCTGAGGCGAGTGCAGAAGCAGCTGGAAGGTGGGTGTGGCCCTGAGGACCTGGTGGAGACGCAGGGTGGGTGTGGGGGGCAGGACCCTCCCCTGACGCCCCCCCCGCCCCCCCGCAGTCATCAACGCCATCGTGGACCCCAGCGGGAACCTGGACCTGCTCACGGCGAGCCGGGGCGGCCCGGGCTCCGGCCTCGGGAAGGGTCGGCCGCCCGCCCAGAGCCCCGCCTCGCCGCCCGCGACCCTGGCCCTGAGGGCCTTCCCGCCGCGGCCGCCCTGCGGGTCCCCCGGCCTCCCGGACCCCGCCTTCCTGCCCGACTTCCTCCCGGACTCGGAGCGGTTCCTGATCTAGTGGCCGGGCCCGCCCCCCGCCCCCCCCCCCGCCCCGCCCCTCCGGCTGCAGCCGGCTCACCGTGAACATCCCACTCGTGCCATAACCCACGGGCGGCGCCCCGGCCCTCAGCTCCCACCAGCACCCGCCCCACCTCCCCCGCCGCCTCCGGCCCAGCTCCCGCTGCGGCCGCTGCCAGGGCGGGGTCCGTCCGGGGTCATCCATGCCCGCTGCATCGTCGTTCCTTTTGTCTTTCGTTTCGGAGGGAAGTTTGTCCATGTCAGCGGCCTCCCCGCCTGCAGGGCCCGCGCCTCCCGGGCTGGAGCGGTGCCGGTCTGGCGTGTCCCAGGCGCGGCCGGGCCGGGGAGGGGCATCGTGGGTCATTCAGTGCCAAACAGGGAGCCGGAGGGCTGGGCCCGGGAGGCGGGGGTGCAGGCCAGGCATGTGCACAGCTGCCCGGGGCCCAGCCGGGCAGGCACATGGCTGAGAGTCGCTTCCCGCCTTCGGTGCCAACACAGCTGCCCACCCAAGTGTGCCGGCCGCCTCGAGGGGCACGCCTCCGCCTACACCTGCTCCCCACCATCCCGGGCGCATCTGCGGGTGCAGGGCCTGCCCAGAGGGGGTGCCGGGCCCCAGCTCCTGGTTCGTGGCCTCTGGGCCAGGGGGAGGCGGGAGCCGGGCTCCCGGGAGCTCCTGAGGCAGCGCGCCGCCCCGTCCCAAATGCCAGGCATGAGCGGGGCATCTGCACTGGGCTTGGGCCCCACAGGCCCGGGAGCAGGTGGGTTTTCTCAGGATCCTGTTGGCGGGAACACGCCAGGCGGCCCCTCTGGGGCTGTTTCTGGAGCCTCTAAGCCAAAGAGCCCGTGTGGGGGCGGGTGCCCCTGGCGCCTGCATGCGTGTGGATGGCTGGGACCCACCGTGGGAGGCCCTGCAGCTGCACGGAGGCCACGGGGGTCGTGGCTGTTTACACTGGGCGCCGGGCGTGGCGGGCGCCCCACAGGATGTTTACGTGTGTGAGTGGCAGTGGGGTCCCTGCCTGGTGTCCCCCCAAGAGCCTGCGGAGTCCCTCAGAGGAGGATCCAGTCCTGGTCCCACCCCGCATGCCCCACGCCTGGCCCGCAGCCGCGGGGCACACGTGGTGGCCACGGACCCCGGCCCCTCGCCCTCCCACGCACACCCTCCCCGGGCCGCCGTGCACTTTTTATCCGTAGACGCGTCCCCCCAGCCCGGCCCAGGCTCCGTAACGTGTGTGTCTGGCTCTGCGGAGGCTCCTCCGGTTTGTCCTCAGGTGGTCTGTGGGTGTCTTTTAGAAAACCGTTATTTTATATGATTTGTCATGAATTTGTTCTAATAAATCATTCTATCACGTGGCAGCCACGGCGCCGTGGCCTCGTTTCTCCGTGGCGGGTGGCGGTGTGTGGCTGGGCAGGGAGTGCGTGGCCCGAGGTCTCCCCCGGCGCCCCCCCCCAGCCCCATGAAAACCATTTGACCCCAAGCCCAGGGGACACTGCAGTGCAGAGGCCTGGCCACCAGGTGGCAGCCTAGGCCAGCAGGCAGAGTGGAAATTTCCAGCCGTTTTGCTTCTCCAAGAGAAAAGCTGTTTTATTCCGATGAGCAGAAGGCCACGCCCAGCACAGTCCTCCGAAGCCAGCTGTGCTGGGCCTGGCGGTGAGGGGGCTGGGAGGACTCAGCACTCGCCCTGTGCTGCCTGCCCGGTGCTGCAGTCTGACCACAGCTGCACCACCCCCTCCACGTCCCTGGCCTGTGGCTCTGCTGGTCGAGCATCATCCAGGCACCAAAGGGGGCGGATCGATTCAGATCAGGGTGCGTGCCTGGGGGCGTGTTCCATGTTTCTCTTTCTCTCACTCTCTAAAAATCTGTAAAAACACATCTTCTTGGGTGAGAATTTTAAAAAGTTTTTTAAGTAAAAAATGTATTATAAAAAGAGGGACAGGTTGGGCTGGAGCCATGTCCAGTGGCGGGGACCCCCAAGGCCAGCCCCTCGGCCAGAAGTGCAGGAGGCACAGGCACCCAGCACCTCCCCATGCCCTCTGCCCCCGTGTCAGCTCTGCCCCCCACGCCCTCTGCCCCCCACGCCCTCTGCCCCCCACACCCTGTCCCCATGTCAGCTCTGCCCCCCACGCCCTCTGCCCCCCCACACCACAGGCAGGGCCAGTCTCGGCAGCGGGCCCGCTGACCCGAGGAGAGCTGCTCCCGCTGGGCCTCACTCCCGGACCCTCGGCGGACCCTCGGGGAGCCGGCCGGGGTGGGCTCACCCCAGGAGTCACAGCACACGCGGAGCGACCCCAGCCCAGCGTCGCGAGGGAAGACAGCTGCACGGTGGGGGTTAACGAACGGGGAGAGGGGGACGCATCGCCGGTGGGTCGGAAAGGGGTCACGTTGAAAGCTGTGATGGCTGAGAATAAAGCTTTTTAAAACCTCAGCAGGAGAGTGAGCACACGAGCCACCGCGCGCCCAAGGATCGGCCAACCGCGAGCAAGGCGAGCCCTGACCGGCGGCTCCGGGATAGAGCGCCGGCCTGCGGACTGAGAGGTCCCGGGTTCGATTCCGGGCAAGGACATGTACCTTGGTTGTGGCACATCCCCAGTGGGGGGTGTGCAGGAGGCAGCTGATGGATGTTTCTAACTCTCCCTTTCTGTAAGAAAAGCAATAAAATAAATTTAAAGAAGAAGAAGAAGAAGACAAGAGGAGGTTTCCCAGTGTGCAAAGCACAGGAACACGGAGACAAAATGGGAAGCAGAGGGTCCTGGGTGCAGAGGGTCCTGTGAGAAGCACAACATACATGTGCCCGGAGTTCCTGGGCAGGGGAGAGGGACGGGGGGGGGGGGGGTGGGAGAGGGAGGAAACGCTGGGGCTGGGGAGAGGCGTGGTGGGCTGGGTCAGGTCGCCCCCCTCCCCGAACGCCCGGTTCCTGCGGCTGCGACCTGGACTTGGGAACAAGGTCCCTGCAGACGACCCTGACCCACCGCAACGGGTCTCCCTGTCGGACCGGGGCCTCTGGGCCCCAGACAGAGGGCACAGCGGGGCCGCGGTGTGTGGCCTCAGGGAGAGTGCCATCGGCCAGGGGGCGCCTGGGGACACGGAGTGAGGAGGGGAGCTGGGAGCAGGCCCCCCGACAGCCGGCGATGGAACCAGCCCTGCCCGTACCCTGACTTGGGTCTTTGGCCTCCAGAACCGAGACAATAAAGTTCTGAGTTGAAGTCACTAGGCTGTGTGGCTTTGTGACAACAGCTGCAGCAAACCTGTATATGTATCCATGGCACAGGGAGCTTCAGGGATAAAAAAAATCCAAGCAGAATTTTTATTAAATATACCAGAGGCCTGGTGCATGGAGATCCATGCACTGGAGGGGGTCCTCAGCCCGGCTGCCCCCTCTCACAGTCCGGGAGCCTTCAGGGGCGGGAGGCGACCTGGCCATCAGGGGAAGGCAACGCCCCATCACACCCCTGCTGCTGCCACTGCCGGCAGCACAGGCCTCGGCCGGCCCTGGTGGCTGGGGGCTGAGGCTGGGTGCTGCCATCATGTGGCTGTGGGTGCCACCATCTTTGAGGGCGTGGCAGTCATTAGCATATTCCCTCCTTATTGGCTGTGGGAGCTGCCATCTTTGTGATGGTGTGAGGGTCAGTCAGCATCTTTATTCAATAGGACAATTCTCCCCTGTACTACAGGCTCACACAATTTCTGCGGCTTCCTTCTATTTTTTATCCACGCTGAGAACCGGGGAGCCGGGCTCCCTAGGCTGTGGAGCCAGCGCCGTGTCTCGCCACCGGCCCTGAGCTTGCTCAGGGTCACAGGGAAGGAGCCGTCGCTCCGGCTGGCCCCGTGGGTCCCGGTGGCTGCGGGAGCCGCACTGACCCGCAGGCCGGGCCTGGGAGGCGGAGGGGCGGGGCCTGTCTCTGGAGGGGAAAGTTCTGGGCCTCCCCCTCGCGCAGCGTCTCTGCTCCCAGTGTCAGCTGCGGCGTGCAGAGCGCGAAGTCAGGACGAAGAGGAAGTGGCCGAGGGGAAGCTGCAGGCAGGGGAGCGGAGGCCGGGGCGGGGCGAGGCCGGGCCACCCTGAGGGCTGAGGCTGCGTCTGGAGCTGGAGCCGAGATGGGCGCCAAGGCAGGGCCCCCAGAGGTAAGTGCCAGGGGGCCAGGCCAGAGCCTGCGGTCCTGGCCCCGTGCTGCCAGCAACTCAGCCCAGAGGTCACAGGGCCAGCAGCTGGGCCTGCAGCACCCGTTCCCCACGGAGCCACCGGGCCAGGCCCGTGACCTGACAGCCGATCCCTGGGCCCGGCTGGGCCCCTGTGTCCGTCTGGGCCCCTGTGTCCGTCTGGGCTGCAGCCGGGCCACGTCCTGAGCCAGGAGTCCCGCGCCTTCAGCCAAGACCTCTGCTGCCGGCAGGGCCCACGCCACCCACAGGGCTGAGGGCTCAGCTGCCCGGGGAGCCAGGGGGCCGTTCCCTCCCAGCAGCCCCCCCACCCCCCCAGGGACGCCCGGTGCCCAGGCTGCAGCGAGTGACTAGCACCCTGGCGGCCGTTCCCTCCCTCAGCACCGCCCCCCCCCCTTCCTGTAGCTTCCAGTGGCCGCGAGGTGGGATGGGGGGATCGGGGCCGGGGCGAGGCCTCGGGGGCCGTGTTCACACGGGGTGGCCCGCCCCCGCCCCTGCCCGCAGGCTGTGGGGGCCTCGTACAGGGTGTGGGCTCCGGGAGCCTGCCCAGGAGGCCCCTGCACCCGCCCCGCCCCGCCCGGCGGCACCCATGACCTCCCCACAGCTGGTGAAGGCGGACGCCGGCCCGGCCGCTGGGAGGGCGGCAGGAGCACCCGAGGCCCTGAGCTCCGGGGCACCCTGGCTCCTCACAGGGACCTCCTGGGAGAGGGACCAGCCCGGGGCCTGGCAGAGCCCCCGTCGCCAGAAGGCTGGCCCGGAGCAGACGGACCCGGTGCAGCTCCCGCGGCTGCTCCTCCCCTCAGGCCCGGGCGGCCGGGAGCCACAGCCCAGGGCTGACCTCCGAGGCCTCCGGGCGGAGCGGCTGGCAGTGCGGGGCCGGGGGCCGGGGGCCGGGGCCGGGGGCCGGGAGCCACAGCCCAGGGCTGACCTCCGAGGCCTCCGGGCGGAGCGGCTGGCGGTGCGGGGCCGGGGGCCGGGGGCCGGGGGCCGGGGCGGCCGGGGGCCGGGAGCCACAGCCCAGGGCTGACCTCCGAGGCCTCCGGGCGGAGCGGCTGGCGGTGCGGGGCCGGGGGCCGGGGCCGGGGGCCGGGGGCTGGGTGCTGGGTGCTGGGTGCCGGGTGCTGGGTGCTAGGTTCTCTGGGAGGGAGGGAGGCTGTGCCCCCATGAAGGTGGCAGAGTCTGGGGGTCCAGAGTGACCCAGCATCACACACACAGGCCTGTGGGGGTGGGGTAGGGGTAGGAGTGGGGTGGGGGTGGGGGTGGGGGTGGGGGTGGGTGCGGGGATGGGGGTGGGAATGGGTGCGGGGGTGGGGGTAAGGGTGGGGGTGGGTGCGGGGGTGGGGGTGAGGGTGGGAGTGGGTGCGGGGGTGGGGGTGGGAGTGGGGCAGAGGGGCCAGCCCGGCTGGAAGCAGCTATTTATAGGCCTGTGAGAGGCTCTCACTCAGGGCAGTTGTGGCCGAAACAGGAACCGAAATTCTGACACCCAGACCCCACTGAGAGGAACGCGAGAGTGAAAATGCACACACACACACACACACACACACACACACAGCAAATCACACACACACACACAGCAAATCACACACACACACACACACACTCACACACACACAGAGCAAACCACACACACACACACACTCACACACTCACACACAGCGGATCACACACACACACACACACAGCGGATCACACACACACACACACTCACAGCGGATCACACACACACACAGCGGATCACACACACACACAGCGGATCACACACACACACAGCGGATCACACACACACACACAGCGGATCTCACACACACACACACACACACACACACAGCGGATCACACACACACACAGCGGATCACACACACACACACACAGCGGATCACACACACACACAGCGGATCACACACACACACAGCGGATCACACACACACACAGCGGATCACACACACACACACACACACAGCGGATCACACACACACACACACACACAGTGGATCACACACACAGCGGATCACACACACACACACAGCGGGTCACACACACACACAGCGGATCACACACACACACAGCGGATCACACTCACAGCGGATCACACACACACACACAGCGGGTCACACACACAGCGGATCACACTCACAGCGGATCACACACACACACACAGCGGATCACACACACAGCGGATCACACACACACACACAGCGGGTCA